TCTAGTAAGGAAGCACATTCTGCTAATATAATAATATAGGATCAGTGAGTTATTGAAGCTAATCATGTTGCTATCTCTAGTAAGGAAGAACATTCTGCTAATATAATAATATAGGATCAGTGAGTTATTAAAGCTAATCACGGTGCTATCTCTAGTAAAGAAGAACATTCTGCTAATATAATAATAAGCAGGCAAACAACGATTTATAAGCATAAGGAAGTGATTTGTTTAATGTGGAATATACTATACGTATAGATAGAACACTGGTTTGAAGAAGACGGACTAATACTCTGGTCGAAACATGTAGTATGTTCCACCATAAATAAATCACTTCCTTATGCTATAAATCATTATTTGCCTACTTGTTATGATGCTACTCAGTGTTAGCTGAAACAGTGTTATTAGATATGATTTTCAAAAATTATTCCATTACAGAAAGTATACTTCTCTCTTTATATCTATATTAGTGTATTGTACGTACGTCAACTTGTCTGAGTATCTTTTAGCAAAGCCACGTCTCCTGTGTCCACCGAGGGGAATCGAACCCTTGATTTTAGTATTGCAAATCCGAAGACTTACCGTTGTCCTACCGAAATCAAAAGACTCGGTCATTTGGTTTACCCCCCCATTCTAAATTATAACCCTAAAAAATCGGGTTTTGATACTCTTGGTGGCCACATAACAGATAGCTCATTGTGTAGCTTCGTGATGAATAACAAAGAAACATCTTGTGTATAGTTATGCCATTTGTTGTGTATGTTTGTTTGTTTCCGCACAAAGAAACACAATGGGATATTTGTGCTCTGTCCACTGCGGGAATCGAACCTTAGAGTTTAGCATGTCTGATTTCAATAGTTTAGGCTGAATTGTGTCTAAATACACTAGTGTAATTATATTTTTTTTATTTTTGTTCATCTACGTAAGGTCCTTAAAAAGACAAGACTATTTTCACTTGGTGCGTCTTTTTGTTCACATTTCCTTTGGTGAAATATGAGACTTGGTAGTCAAATAAGAGTGTTTGGGAATTGGAAGGTTTATTTTATTTATTTTGTTGTTGTTTCAAAATTTCGCGAAAAGTTACAAAAGGGCTACCTGCGCATAGCCTTTCCTAATTCAGAATTGATAGACCAGAGAGGAAGCAGTTAATCAAATCAACCATTGTCTCTTGCCTATCGAATAGTTATTTTTAAAGCATCGGATCGAAACCATTAACTTTAGGGTACACAAACCGAGCACGTTGATCACTGGGCCACGCCTGGTCCAAGCTGGAAGTGAATGATGCTTTTCAGAAATGCCCCATGTTGAAGGCAAACAGAAACTAAAAATGGATGCTCCCTAGAAATTCCGTGCAAAAATAGTTGTAATTTAGTAATATTTTGATACAGTTTTACATTATGAGAGAACTCAGTAACAAGACCTTTTCATTTCTACCTTCATCTCGTCATCTTATCCTTTCGACTCTTTGTTTCACCTACCTAATTCATTTTAGAATCTTCGTCTGTTCACTGTGGGTTATTATTTTGGACTAAAATTTTAGTTCGTGTAATCCATCAAAATATATGGGAGGATACCAAAATGGGTGCTGATCCCTTTGTTCCGAGGCCTAATGAAAGCGATCAGATATATTTTTATCATGTTTATAAAACATGTACCAAAGTACGAACCTAACTATCTCTCTCTATGTATTTTGATAATGTCAATGAAGGTCGTTTTCATAAAACCCAAATTATTATTTGCTGTATTGACCTGGAGTAGAAAACGTTTAAAATATAACAATAATAGTAACGCAGTTTGTGTAATGGATGCCACCTTGTGCTAGTATTTGAAATAGTAAGAGAGGAGAATACGTGTATGGCTTATGAACTTAAATACGTCGTGTAATGCCCTCCAGTGGCACAGCGGTATGTTTGCGGACTTACAACGCTAGGAACCGGATTTCGATACCCGTGGTGGGCAGAGCACAGATAGTCCATTGTATATCTTTGTTTGTTTGTTTGAAGTTAAGCACAAAGAAGAGAAGTAAATTGACATTATTTACTTTGTATAAGATAGTCACATCCGGCTGAAGGACTGTAGTAAAACAAACATCAATTTTTACCACAATTACTAACGTCTGAACCACTTGTATTGTTAAAAAAAAATCTCGTAATTTTAAGATAGAATGATAACTACATCGTTTTTGAATAGTTAATTGCAATTATTTCAACTCCAATTTAACTCTAACACTTGCCCTCGAATAACACAAGACGTTGAAAAAATATAACAGTTGCCCTCGAATAACACCAGACGTTGAAAAAAATATAATAGCTGTCCTAGAATAACACAAGACGTTGAAAAAATATAACAGTTGCCTTCAAATAACACCAGACGTTGAAAAAAATATAATAGCTGTCCTAGAATAACACAAGACGTTGAAAAAATATAACAGTTGGCTTCGAATAACACCAGACGTTGAAAAAAGATAACAGTTGCTTGAATAATACCAGACGTTGGAAAAATATAACAATTGCCCTTGTATAACACCAGACGTTGAAAAATATAACAGTTGCCCTCGAATAACACCAGACGTTGAAAATATATATCAGTTGCCCTCGAATAACACAAGGCGTTAAAAATATAACAGCTGCCCTAGAATAACACTAGACGTTGAAAAATATAACAGTTGCCCTCGTATAACACCAGACGTTGAAAAATATAACAGTTGTCCTCGTATAACACCAGACGGTGAAAAAATATAACAGTTGCCCTCGTATAACACCAGACGTTGAAAAAAATATAATAGCTGTCCTAGAATAACACTAGACGTTGAAAAATATAACAGTTGCCCTCGTATAACACCAGACGTTGAAAAATATAACAGTTGCCCTCGTATAACACAAGGCGTTAAAAATATAACAGCTGCCCTAGAATAACACTAGACGTTGAAAAATATAACAGTTGCCCTCGTATAACACCAGACGTTGAAAAATATAACAGCTGCCCTCGTATATCACCAGACGTTGAAAAATATAACAGTTGCCCTAGAATAACACCAGACGTTGAAAAATATAACAGTTGCCCTAGAATAACACTAGACGTTGAAAAATATAACAGTTACCCTCGTATATCACCAGACGTTGAAAAATATAACAGTTGTCCTCGTATATCACCAGACGTTGAAAAATATAACAGTTGCCCTCGTATAACACCAGACGTTGAAAAATATAACAGTTGTCCTCGTATATCACCAGACGTTGAAAAATATAACAGTTGTCCTCGTATAACACCAGACGTTGAAAAATATAACAGTTACCCTCGTATAACACCAGACGTTGAAAAAAGATAACAGTTGCTTGAAT